GTGTATTAATTACAGAGTTCAACCAATAGTTTTAAGTAGAATATAAAATGCATCTTTTGCATTGTTGTGGCTTCCCCCCGACCTCCCTCCCTCCCATGGCCCTCCCCTCACCCACTTCCTCTCCCATCCCGCCCTTCATCACGTTTCATTTTCAATTACCTTCATATACTGAAGATCAACTTAGTATATACTAAGCAGGGATTTCAACAGGTTGCACTCACACAACCGAACCAGGTATAGGGTATTGTTCGACTAGTAGTGTTGTTTTTGAGTTTCATAGATAAACATATCAAGGACAGAGATCCTGCGTGGGGAGCATGAACCCAGTGACTCCCGTTGTTGATTTAACAATTGGCACTCTTATTTATGATGTCAGCAATCACCTGAGACTCTTGCTATGAGCTGTCTAGGCTATGGAAGCCCCTTGAGTTCACCAACTCTGAATTTGTTTAGTCCAGGCCATATCACAGTGGAGGTTCCTTCCTCTCTTCAGAGAAAGGCGCCTCTCTCCTTGATGGCCTGATCCTTCTGCTGGGGTGTTGTTCACCAGGATCCTTCATTTAGATTGTTTTTTGCCACCGTGTCATGGCTTTCCATGCCTGCGAGACTCTCATGGAGCTTTTAGTCAGATCCGAATGTCCCAAGGGTTGGCAATCCATCCACTTTTAAAGAGACTCTGCCTTTTTCTTATTCCTGCAGGGACCTGACCTAACTGCCTATTAGCCCATCTAGCTCCTCTCAAGATGATAATAGTCAAACTGGGAAATTGAGGGGAATATAACAAAATGACTTTAAAAAGTTGTGGGCGGGTGTAGGGAAACCAAACCTGTGAGGATATCTTATACTCAATTTCTTATTCAAATTTTAAAGGTTTTAAATAATATTCAATTTTTAGAACCTTCCTTAAGAACAAGAATGCAAAGGTATTGATAACAAAAGTGGTACAACAGTGAATTTAGAATGAGAAGGAGAGCACATAAAATCACAAATAAATAAAACTATACCTATCAAAGATACAACATCTAGATAATATTATCATTATGTCAGTAACCCAATGAGATTCAGAAACTTACAGATGCTTCTTCATGGGGAGAAGGCAATGGGACAACTGGCAATTCTAGAGGCATAGTAAATTATTTGTAGGGGAGAGAATGGACCAGAAGAAACAGTGGCCTGAGAAAAATCCCCTCCAGGCTCTAGATGTGGGGTTTGATTTTCAGTCTCCTCTTCTGTAAAATGTGTTAAGCCATCTGTCCTTCATTAATGAAATGTCACTACGAAGACTGAAGGCATCTGTGCTGCTTTTCGGTGGACAGGTCTTAACATATATAAGCGAGCTTCAGACACAGTCCTTTGCTTAAGGAGAGAAAGGATTGAGGGAGAGGCAGATGAGAGGTCAGAGAGACCTTGAGGCTGCGTCTTTGGTTCTGCATGTTAAAGCATCATGCTTGATGCATCATTTGCTGAGCCTCAACACAGGCCACCCAAACTATGCCACATTGGCATAAGGATTATTTCGAGCTGAAGACAGTTGAGAAATGGCACAAATCGGAAAGTCTTCTGCTCTCCAGCCTATTTGTCCAAGGGCAGGACCTAAATCTCCACTTGTAAATGTGTCTGCTTCTCCCATGCCAAAAAGATTTATTTTTTAAAAAAGATTTGTTTATTTGAAAATAAGAGTTAAAGAGAGAGGAAGAGACAGATATAGAACTCTTCCATCCACTTGTTCACTCCCCAGATGGCCACGATAGCCAGGACTGAGCCAAGACACAGCCAGGAGCCACGAGCTTCATCTGGGTCTCCCACATGGGTGCAGGGACCCAAGCATTTGGGTCATCATCCACTGCATTTTCCAGGCCATTAGCAGGGAGCTGGATCAAAAGTGGAGCAGCCAGGACTTATGGGATGCTGGCATTTCAGGCAGAGGCTTAACTTGTTATGCCACAACGCCGACACCAGAGGGAAATTCTTAGACTCTTATCCACTCTGGACTGAGGGGGCACCTGGAGGAATCTATGCAACACATCTTCTTGGTCTTTAGTTATATAATAAATAGCCCTGGTCTTTAGTTTCTCCCCTTGTATTTGGCTTTCTCCAGTTTGTCACTCCTAAACACCTAAATCCCTTTTCATTTGTTTTGTCTCTTCTCCACAAAGTTCCTGTTTGTTAAGATGCTACATAGGGAATAAGAGAGGGAAGAGATGTACAATTTGGGACATGCTCAATCGGACTTGCCCCAAATGGTAGAGTTAGAAACATACCAGGGGATTCCAATTCAGTCCCATCAAGGTGGCATGTACCAATGCCATCTCACTAGTCACAGTGATCAATTGCTGTTCACAATTGATCATAATGATAGGATTAAGAGTCAAAGGGATCACATAAACAAGAATAGTGTCTGCTAATACTAACTGCTAGAATTAAAAAGGAGAGAACGATCCAACATGGGAAACGGGATACACAGCAGACTCATAGAATGGCAGATGTCCTAAACAGCACTCTGGCCTCAGAAACAGCCCTTAAGGCATTTGGATCTAGCTAAAGAGCCCATGAGAGTATTTTCAGGCATGGAAAGCCAAGACACTCTGGCAAAAACAAACAAACAAACAAAAAAAGTAAATGAAAGATCTCCGCGAGTGAGATCCCAGTGGAAAGAACAGGTCATCAAAGAAGGAGGTACCTTTCTCTGAAGGGAGGACAGAACTTCCACTTTGACTATGACCTTGTCTAAATATGATCAGAGTCGGCGAGCTCAAAAGGCCTCCATTGCCTTGGCAACTCATGACAAGAGCCTAGGGTGATTACTGACACCATAAACAAGAGTGTCGATTTGTTAAGTCAACAACAGGAGTCACTATGCACTTACTCCTCATGTAGGATCTCTGTCCTTAACGTGGTGTTCAATGTGAATTAATGCTATAACTAGTACTCAAACAATACTTTACACTTTGTGTTTCTGTGTGGGTGCAAACTGTTGAACTCTTTACTTAATATATACTAAATTGATCTTCTGGATATAAAGAGAATTGAAAATGAATCTTGATGTGAATGGAATGGGAGAGGGAGCGGGAGAGGGGAGGGTTGCGGGTGGGAGGGAAGTTATGGGGGTGGGGAAACCATTGTAATCCATAAGCTGTACTTTGGAAATTTATATTCATTAAATAAGTTAAAAAAAAAGATGCTATATAGGGACGCTGACATTGTGGTGTAGCAGGTTAAGCCATCGCTGGTGACACCAGCATCTCATATGGGAACCAGTTCAAGCCTTAGCTGCTCAACTTCTGATCCAGCTCTCTGCTGGTATACCTGGGAAAGCAGTAGTAGATGGCCCAAGTGGTTGGGTGCTAATTCCCATATAGGGGACCTGGATGAAGCTTCAGGTTCCTGGCTGTTGAAGCCATGTGGAGAATGAACCAGTGAATGGATAATCTCCCTCTTTCTCTGTAAACCTGACTTTCAAATAAATAAATAAATCTTTTTTCTTTTTTAAAAGATGCTTTATAGGCCCCATCTTCAAACAACTTCTGTAAGTCACTCAGCACTGAGTTGTTCCCATGCGCAGTGAGAAGATATCACCAGTGGTTTTTAAGCAAGAGAATAATCAAATCACTTTGACTGTCATGTGGAAAATGTATTAGAAGAGGACAACATGGATGGAGTGAGACCAGTTAAATGATGGAAGGTGATGATGACTTATACTTCTTATCCAGGGAGAGGGTGACACCATTATAGCCATTACAGCATTACAGCTGTTCATAAACTGTTTTTCTCTTGTTAATTTGTCTTTTTTCAGTTTAATTTCCAGGACCCTAAGTGTAGAAGAGAGGTGTTTTTGTTTTTTTCTCTTCCCCTACAGTTTATGGATAAAGAATTGAGGCTCAGTGTGCTTAAACAATTTGCCCATAGTTATTCCAACCCAGTTCTGTCTGGTGCCAAAAATTTATGCTGTTTGTGACGCAGGTAGATGGTGCAGTTTCTGCCGTACTTAAGCTAGCACGGAAGGCATGGCAGACACAACTCTTTCTGCTAATGTTCTGCTCTGCCTTCCCTGAACGATCAAAACCCCCATTACATTTCTGACCCATCCACTGCCACAGAAGTTGCTCTTTTCAAGGTCACAAGTGATCGCTTGCTGCCAAATCTAATGACCATTTTTCTCTTATCTTTTTAAACTCTCAATACTGTTTCACAAAGTTGACTGCTCGCTTTGTTCTGGAAATAATGTTCTCCCTCAGCTTTGGTGACAAACCATTCTCTCTCACTCTTTTTATCCTTGCCTCCCTGAGTGCCCTGTCCCAACTCCGTTTTATGATTCTTCTCTTCCCAACCACTAAGCCCTGGACGTTCCTTACAATGGTGTCTTGGCCGGCGCTGTGGCTCACTTGGCTAATCCTCTGCCTGTGGCACAGGCACCCCGGGTTCTAGTCCCAGTTGGGGCAGCGGATTCTGTCCCGGTTGCCCCTCTTCCAGGCCAGCTCTCTGCTGTGGCCTGGGAAAGCAGTGGAGGATGGTCCAAGTCCTTGGGCCCTGCACCTGCATGGGAGACCAGGAGGAAGCACCTGGCTCCTGGCTTCAGATTGGCGCAGCGCACCGGCTGTAGAAGCCATTTGAGGGGTGAACCAATGGAAGGAAGACCTTTCTCTCTGTCTATCTCTCACTGTCTAACTCTGCCTGTCAGAAAAAAAAAAAAAAAACAAAAAACAAAAAACAGTGTCTTGAACCAAGTCCTCTTCTCCACCCACTTCCTGCCCTAGGCAGCCTCACCTGTCCTGCACATTAAAGGGGCCCAGATGCTGTTTGCCAATGGCATCTCTGCAGCCTTGTTGTCTACTTCCACTCTTGCGTACAATCTCACTTGATTGTCACCCTCACATGCGACTCTTCACTGCTCCCCTCAGAGATGCTCCTCCCCCAGTGTTCCAGGTACTCCTGCTATGTGACAAACCACTTCAAATCTTCACCGCACAGGAATTCAGACAGGCACAGTGGGAATGACTTACCTTTGTTCCATGATGCCTGGGGCCTCAGGTGGGAAGACTCAGACTGGGTGTGACTTAACCACGGACCTAGGATCATCTGGAGGTGCCTTCACTCACGCACCTGGCGGCTGATGCTGGCAGCTGCCTGGGACCTCAGCTGGCCTCTTGAGTGGTGTGGGTTCCTTCATAGTGGGGTAGTCTCAGGATGGGTAGACTTCTTCTTCTTTTTTTTTTTTTTAAAGATTTATTTATTTATTTGAAATTCAGAGTTATACACAGAGAGAAGGAGAGGCAGAGAGAGAGAGAGGTCTTCCATCCGCTGGTTCACTCCCCAATTGGCTTCAACAGCTGGAGCTGTGCCAATCAGAAACCAGGAGCCAAGAGCTTTTTCTGGGTATCCCATGTGGGTGCAGGGGCCCAAGGACTTGGGCCATATTCTACCGCCTTCCCAGGCCATAGTAGAGAGCTGGATTGGAAGTGGAGCAGCGGGACTCTAACCGGTGCCCATAAGGGGTTCTAGCACTGTAGGCAGTGGCTTTACCCGCTACACCACAGTGCCAGCCCTAAGGGTAGACTTCTTACGTGGTGGATTGAGCAATGGCCAACAGAGAAAGCAGAGGCCTCACGGCCTTTTACAGTCTAAATTTAGAAGTCCTGGATCACTGCTGCTGCTTCTCTGTTGGTAGAAGCAGTTACAGGCACACCCAAAGACAAATGGAGGGGATATGATGTCACCTCTCCCTGGATAAGAAGTTTAAGTCATCATCACCTTCCATCATTTAACTGGTCTCACTCCGTCCATGTTGTCCTCTTCTAATACATTTCCCACATGACAGTCAAAGTGATTTGATTATTCTCTTGCTTAAAAACCACTGGTGATTTCTTCTCACTGTACCTAGAATAAAATCATAATTTACTTTTCAAAATACATGTAGTGATTTGAAAAGTAGAGAGACATCTTCTGCTGATTCACTCTCCAAATGCCTGCAATAGCCCCAAACCAGGAGCCAGAACCTCCACCAGGGTCTCCCCAACGGGTGGCAGCAACCTGGGTATCTGAGCCACTGAAAGAGAGCCCCTATAAGGTTGTTTCTCTGATAGATAACCTCTTGATGTTGGGTCTTGTCTTGAATGACTTCATTTCTGGGAGCTCTAGGCCTTGAGCAGAAAGTAACTACCACTTGTCTGTAGCCCCTAGACTATCTGAAGCCCATTTTGGCATCATTAAATTCAATAAAAGACACGATATCACCCACCAGTTGAAAGAGGTCCATGAGCACTGCAGACCAGCCAGGAACTTGGACACAAGCTGAACACACACCTCAACCCCATTTCAATCTATAAGAACCCTTCCCCCCAGCCCCTCTGGGAGCTCGAGAATTAAGTAGCAGTTCCTGCCTCCTTGCTCTGCGCTCTGTAATAAATGCTTTCTTTCTTACACCACCCTGATATTACTGATTGGCTTTCTGCATATCAGGTGAGTGGACCCTGTTTGGGGGATTCTAGAGCACCCCCCTAACCAGTTTTGGGGAACTGTTCTATATCACCATCACCTGCTGCCTTCCAAGGTGTGCATTAGCAGGAAGCCTGAATCAGAAGCAGAGCCAGGAGCTGAACTGAGGCATTCTAATATAGGATGCAGACATCCCGATTGGCATCACTGTGTAAAACACTACCTACCCCCAAATCCTAATTTCTTTTCCCTCCAATCCTAATATCACCATGCCTAGTTTCATCACATTCCAACTACACTACAGCATACCTCTTTTTTTTTTCTTTTTAAAAGATTTATTTATTTATTTGAAAGGCAGAGTTACAGATAGAGAGAGGCTGAGGCAGGGAGAGAGAAAGGTCTTCTATCCGCTGGTTCATTCCCCAAATGGCCACAACAATCAGAGCTGGGACAAGCCAAAACCAGGAGCTAGGAGCTTCTTCCTGGTCTCCCACGCAGGTGCAGGGGCCCAAGCACTTGGGCCATCTTCTACTGCTTTCCCAATGACTCTTCTTTTCTACCTCATGGACTTCATTCTTGCTGTTCCCTCTCCCTGAAACACTCCTATCTTCCCTATTGGCTGTTCCTCTCATGCATTTAGTTCTTCTTCATCCATCAAGACTCGGCTGCACATGACCTGACAACTCTAACTAAAGTGACCTTTATTTGCTATAGCCACCTGCTACTCACTCTTTTATCAACTGTTTATTTTTTAGGGCTAATTATAGTATCCATAAATATGATGTTGATTTATTTACATACTTGTTTATTTGGGCCTCCCCCATTAGACTGTAAACTCCATGAGTCTCTCATTAACTACTTTATATCCAGCACATACCATAGTGCCTGGGACACAGTAAATGTTGAGAAAGTTTTTAAAAAATATGATGGCTAAATAGATGTAGACAAAGATATAGATAGATTAGTAGATAGACAGACATGATACAGTGGATGGAGGGAAGGGTATTCATGCAATAGCAACAAAATAGATATTTCCTCCTTAGCCAAGAGGAAAAATGATTCTGCTAAGGTGTTCTGCTTCATGAGAGCCCAGGTCCAATTCCTAGGTTCTTTAAGATTCTGGACATCTAATCCGGGACCTGGCATCTTGGATCACACCTTGTTCCTGGAGAAGTCAAGCATGTCAAGTTATAAAAACAATAAATCACCAGTATTCTCTGGAGGCAGTGACATTATTAAGCCGTAGTAGTTTCTGGAGTTCTTAGAGGCCTGTGTTGGGTTTCCTAGGGTTCCCATTTTCTCTCAGGCAGCCATTTGCAGCTAATCATGACCATCTACTTTTAAATGATCACATCTCTGGGGCTGGTTTTGTGGCATAGTAGGTTAAGCATCTGCCTGTGGCACCGGCATCCCATGTGGACACCAGTTCAAGTTCTGGCTGCTTCTCTTCTGATCCAGCTCCCTTTTGATGGCCTGAGAAAGCAGTAGAAGATGGCCCAAGTTCTTGGGCCCATGCACCCACATGGAAGACCCAGAAGAAACTCCTGGCTCCTGGCTTCGGATAGGTTCAGCTCTGGCTGTTGAGCCATTTGGGGAGTGAAGCAGAAGGTGGAAGACCTCTCTGTCTCTCATTTTCTCTGCTGTCTATAATTCTGCTTCTCAAGTAAATAAATAAATCTTTTAAAAAATCATATCTCTTATTTTGAATTTAATTTATTGATTCACTTATTTATTTTAAAGGCAGTAAGACAGGGAAAGAGAGAGAAGACAAAATGAGAGATCTCCTTCATCTGCTGGTTCATTCCCCAGATACCTACAACAGACAGGGCTGGTCCAGGCTGAGGCCAGTTCTCCCATACAGACCCAAGAACTTGACCCATTCCAAGGTGGGCATTAGCCGAAAGCCAGAATCAGAAGTGGAGCCAGCACTTGAGCCAAGGCACTCCAGTATGAGATGTGGGCGTTCCAAGCAGTACCTCAACAACCACTCGCAGAACATCTGCTCCAGGTCGTCAGCTTTATAATCATCCTGTAATTGCAGACATTCAAAGTTAGACACATGATTTCCAAATACCTTGGACTTGTTATGGCACCACATTTATGCTTTTTAGTCTCTGACATCTAAGAGCTACAGGCAGCTATTTGATTTTCCAGAACTAAAGAGAATCACAATGAAGCGATTTTGAAAGCATTTTGAGACTTGCCAGTATCCTTAAGCTCATGATAAACAGCCTCAGGCATCAAAAGACCAGCACACCCAGTCACCCATCTACAGGTGTCTTGATCTCATTAAACAGAAGTTTGCTTTACCACTCCATTTGGCCTTTTCAAGTTGCCATTCCTCCCCTTCCCCCTTTTATTCACACTGGATTTGCAGCCAAAGAAATGTGCTCCTGGATCCCCTCTAAGAAAGATTTTGCTTTTATTGTTTTTTCTCCGCACTTGTTTTCTTTTTTACAATAGCTTGCCATGCATCCTCTATATTTTAGTCTTGAGATGGTATTTAAGCCCTTACAACCTGCCACCTTTATTGATGACAAAATGGAAGCTTACTTGTCTCTTTCCTTGGAAAGTCAGGAAGGATTTGTCAAGTGTGACGTTAAAACAACAACAACACAAAGCCAACTGTATCTGTTTGGCATGTTTCACCACCATGTTTGCAAGGCTCCTCTGCAGTACTTTCCTTAGGACTGACAGTTTTTTCGGCCTATTTCACCGGCTGCTGTACCATGTTAGTTGATGAAGGGTCATTCCCAGTGGTTTGGTAGTAAGTCTACGATGAATGACACACGGCCAACTGGGAAAAAGAGTAAACACCCAGAGCCTCCACACTCTTCTACCGGACTTGCATGGGTCATCTCATACTCTTCACCTGTTACAAAGAGCCAGGTTACTGATTCAATACCTACAAATGTGGAGATTGTGAAATCTTTAAACATAGCTGTTACATATCTTAAATTTTCTGTGCTACCTCTGTGTCCTTGGACAGTTTACAGTTTTAAATTTAACTCTTCTGCTATTTAAAGAGAAAGAGAAAGTGGTGTTAATAAGCAATGTTACCAATTCTCTTGAGCATTACCTGAATCACTCAACAATCTTATTGATAAAAAAAATACACAAACTTGATTCAGATTGGAAATCCTTTGGTGTCTTGCAGACCAACCAGAAGAACAATTTAATGTGACTGGACTTTTACTGTTTTCAGTGTCTTCAAAGAAAGGCAAATATTTACTGCACCTGATACTTTGCCTCTGGTCAACTGATTTTTGTTTTTTAAAAAGACAACTGTGTTTTTTTTTTTTTTTTTTTCTTGAGAACTTCATTTTCTACTAAGTAGTCTGCAAAGTGTTCAGCTTTGCTGTGTACTTCATAAGGCTCCATCTGTTCTGGATTTTCAGAAGTTTTTTTTTTTTTAATCTCAAAAAAAATTCAATGGAAAAGGTAAAGGCTTTACTGCCAGTAGATTTTTGTTTCTCTTCTTTCTGGAAAAGAGCCAGTGTGAGTTTAAAAATAGACCTGAAACATATCTACAGTTTGAGATTCATTCAACCCTCTAATATTTGCTCTAGAATACAGAAGAGACACGATGCATCTGAGCTAAAATGATGCCCAGAGTTACCACTTCTTCATTTCAGATCAAATCATGCACTGGGGCAGCCTTCTGGAGAGGCAGACTCCCTCTCCCTACCTCTCATTTCCCCTGACAAGAAGGACAGTGGGAATTGGGCTTATTCTAAGTGTCCCACCTTAAACATTTATCAATGTATGCTATTTATGACTTATTATTAATGGTAGCTACTATGACCCTAACACCAGATACCCACTGGAATAAAAATATTGGGGCAATAAAATGGAATGACCTATTTTTAAAGTTTTGTTCAAGAATGCACTATTAATGAAGTATAATGGCCATACAATAAAAATTCACAAAAGTTAAATACACAGGGTATTTACGATCAGCTGCTAAATCCAAAAGTGTGGCTACTTAATTTCTAATGACAAATTAGAGTTCTTGATATTAGTTCACTGGTGCTTTGATGTACATTCAGGATGAATGTCAACAGACTTTTCTACATTGATTTGGATGCTCTGCCTGAAAAGTAATTCAGCTTTGTGTCCACCATTAATTCTAAAGGAGCTTGCGTGAATTTCCTGTCCCAGCTATTCCCAGGGTGAGGTAAATAATCCTCTCTGCCACAATGGGGAAGAACTGAATCGAGGCGAATCTAACGCTTTGAGGAGTTGAGTGCACTCCAGGAAGAGGAGCTTAGATGGGAAACTCCAGTGCTACTGTCCTCTTTGTCAAAGTAACTTTTAATTTTTAACTTTTATTTAGTAAATATAAATTTCCAAAGTAGTTTATGGATTACGATGGCTCCCCTCCCCCTAACTTCCCTCCCACTCGCACCCCTCCCATCTCCCTCTCCCTCTCCCATTCCAAGTAACTTTTAATTTTTTTAACAAAATATTTTATTTTTTTTATTTCAAAGGCAGAATGATGGGCAGCAGTGGGGAGGAGATCTTTCATTTGCTAGTTGACTCCATAAATGCCTTTAACAACCAAGGCTGGGCCAGGCCAAAGTCAGGACCCAGGAACTTCATCCTGGTTCCCTATGGGGATGGTAGGGACCCACGCTCTTGAGTCACCATCTGCTGCCTCCCAGGGTGTATTAGTGAGAAGCTGGATTGGAAGGGGAGTAGCCAGGACTTCAACTTGCACTCTGGTGTAGAACACAAGGGCCCCATGCAGCAGCTTAGCCAGTTGTACCATAATGTTTGCCCTGATAACTTTTAATTTTGACTTAATTTTGAAGTTACAGAAAAGTTGCAAGAATCATACAAGGAATTCTCTCATAAACTCTTTACCCAAATTCACCAATTTTTACACTTTTTAACTTAAATAAACTTGATATTTTACAAATTCTTTTTATAATTTATTTTCACTTATTTTAAAGGTAGAGAGAGAGAGAGAGAATCTTCTACCCACTGGTTTACTCCCGAAAACCTCTGCAACAGCCAGGACTGGGCCAGGCTGAAGTCAAGAACCAAGAACTCCGGTCTTCCATGTGGGTGGCAGGAACTCAAGTATTTGAGTCATCATCTGCTGCCTCCCAGGGTGAACATTAGCAGGAAGTTGGAATTGGATGCAGAGCCAGGACTTGAACAAAGCACTCCAAGTATCAAGTGGTATCTTGCTGCACTAAATTTCCACCCCGAAATTTTATATTAACTTTTATTTCAGACAAAAAAAATCCCAAGATCTGGATCTTTTCAAAAATTTTATTTCAAGCCTAACTGGTAGAAAGGTAACACATTTTCTTATTTGAGAGGCAGTCAAAGAGAGAGAGAGAGAGCTCCCCTCGGTTGGTTCAATCCTGAGTGCCTCCAGTGGCGCGGGGTGGGTGGGTGTGGGAAGGGGCAGAGAGAGCCAGGAACTCAATCCAGGTCTTCTGCCTATGGGTGGCAGGAATCCAAGCATTTGTGCCATCACTGTTATCTTCCAGGGTCCACAGCAGCAGGAAGCTGGAATTGGGAATGGAGCTGAGAGTGGAACTTAGGCACTCTGTGAGACATGAGCTTCCTAAATGGTGTCTCAAGCAGTTTCTCCCAATTTTAACACCACCTTCTCACTGAATTAGCACACAGCCTCTTCTTTTTACACACTTGTAGGCAGAGTAAACTCTAGTTTCTTTCACCTTTTTATAAGGATATCACTTTGGGGTTGGTGCTGTGGCGCAGTGGGTTAATGCCCTGGCCTGAATCGCTAGCATCCCATATGGGCGCTGGTTCAAGACCCGGCTGCTCCACTTCCAATCCAGCTCTCTGCTATGGCCTGGGAAAGAAGTAGAAGATGGCACAAGTCCTTGGGCCTCTGCAACCTGTGTGGAAGACCTGGAAGTAGCTCCTGGCTCCTGGCTTCAGATCAGCACAGCTCTGGCCGTTGCGATCAATTGGGGAGTTAACCATTGTATGGAAGATCTCTCTCTCCCTCTCTGCCTCTCCTCTCTTTGTGTAACTCTTTCAAATAAATAAATAAATCTTAAAAAAAAAAAAAAAGGATATCACTTTGATCAGATTAGAGCATTTTACCTTAATTTTCTTCTAAATTTTACCTTAATTATCTCCAAAGTCACTTTTGGTTCTGGGACTTCAATATGTAAATTTTAGGGAACACAAGTATGTTCATAAAGATAATTTTTTCAGTTTTCTGTAAACCTAAAACTGTTCTAAAAAATAAAATACATTTAGAAAAGATGTTTTAGATAACCAAATAAAGCTTTCAGAGATGAAAATACACTCATTGGGATAATGGCAAATAAAACAACACAAAAGAGAAGATTAGGTGTTTGAAGACACAGCAATAAGAAGCATACAAAATGAAATAGAGGGAAAGGGGCCAGCGTTGTGGCATAGTAGTTTAAGCCTTTGCCTTGGCGCTGGCATTCCATGAGGGTGCCATTTTAAGACCTAGCTGCTCCTCTTCTGATCCATGCTAATCGCCTGGGAAAGCAGCAGAAGATGAGCCAAATGCTCGGGCCCCTACACCCATGCGGGAAACCAGGAAGAAGCTCTTGGCTCCTGGCTTTGTCCCGGCCCAGCCCTGGCTGTGTGGCCATTTGGGGAGTGTACCAGCATGTAGAAGACCTCTGTCTCTCTCTGTAACTCTGTCTTTCAAAAAAAATTTAAAGAAATTAAATTTAAAGAAAAAAAAAGAAATTAAATTTAAATTAAAAAATTCTTTAAATTTTTTTTTGACAGGCAGAGTTAGACAGTGAGAGACAGAGACAGAGAGAAAGGCTTCCTTTTTCCATTGGTTCACCCCCCAAGTGGCCGCTATGGCCTGTGTGTTGTGGCCGGCGCACCACGCTTATCCGAAGCCAGGAGCCAGGTGCTTCTCCTGGTCTCCGATGTGGGTGCAGGGCCCAAGGACCTGGGCCATCCTCCACTGCCTTCCCGGGCCACAGCAGAAAGCTAGACTGGAAGAGGAGCAACTGGGACAGAATCCGGTGCCTTGACTGGAACTAGAACCTGGGGTGCCGGTGCTGCAGGTAGAGGATTAGCCTATTGATCCACGGCACCGGCCAAAAAAAATTCTTAAAAAAAAATAGAGAGGGAGGAAAAAAAAGATTGAAAAAAATTTAACAGCTTCAATAAGCAGTGGAATAACTTCAGGCAGCCTAATATATATGTAATTGGAGTCCCTAAGGAGGTCCTATTAATTTGCTAGGGTTGCCATAACAAAATATTACAGACTGGGTGGCTTAAACAGAAATTTATTTTCTCATAGTTCCAGAAGCATGATGTTCAAGAGCAAGGTGCTGGCAAGTTTTGCTTCTGAAGCTTCTCTCCTTGACCTGCTAACAGCCACCTTCTTGCTGTGTGCTTTCATGGTCTTTTCTCTGTGTGTGCAACCCTGGCGTCTCTTCCTATCCTACATGGACACTAATCCATCCTTATAACCTCATTTAATATTAATTACTTCTTCACTGGGGATTAGATTCAACATATGAATTTTGGGAAGACACAGTTCAGTCTGTGACAAACAGGAATGATATAGAAAAACAAAAATCTTTTAAAGAAATAGTTGGGGGGGGGTGTTGTGGCATAGTGGGTTAAGTTGCTGCCTGTAACACCAGCATGCTATATGGGCACTGGTTTAAACCCCAGCTGCTCCACTTCTGATCCTGCTCCCTGCCAGTACACATGTAAAAACAGTGAGAATGGCCCAAGTGCTTGGGCTCCTGTACACACATGGGAGACCAGGAAGAAGCTCCTGGCTTCCGCCTGGCCCAGCCCTGGCCATTGCAGTCATTTGGGGAGTAGAAGAGCTCTTTCTGTCTCTTCCTCTCTCTCTTTATAACTCTGCCTTTCAAATAAGTAAATAAATCTTTAAAAAAAATAAAAGAATGGAGATCGGTATTTGTGTAGTGGTTAAGATCCTACTTGAGACACAAACATCCTATTTTGGAGTGCCTCAGCTCAAGTCCCAGCTATGCTCCTGATTTTACCTTCCTGCTAAAGTGAACCTTGGGAGGAAACAAGTGATGGCCTCAGTGGATAGATCCCTGCCACCCAAGTGAGAGACATGGATAGAGTTTCTGGTTCCTGGCTTCAGCCTGGCCCGGCCATGGCTATTGCAGGCACTTGTGAAGTAAAGTAGCAGATGGAAGATCTCTCCCACTTCTCTGTCTGTCTGAGAGAGAGAGAGAGAGTATTCCATCCGCTGGTTCACTCCCCAAGTGGCCGCAATAGTCAGAGCTGTGCTGACCCGAAGCCAGGAGCCAGGAGCTTCTTCCGGGTCTCCCACGTGGGTGCAGGGGCCCAAGCACTCAGGCCATCAGCAGAGAGCTGGATTGGAAGAGGAGCAACCAGGACACAAATCAGTGCCCATATGGAATACATGCACTGTAGGCAGAGGCTTGGCCTACTACCCTACCCCACAGTGCTGGCTCCTGTTGTGCTATTTTTTAAAAATGTTTTTAGGAACAGGTGTTTAGTCTAGTGGTTAAACCATCTATATCTCACATTAGAGTGCCTGGGTTCGATTCCCAGTTGTAGTTTCTGCCAATTTAGACCCTGGGAAACAGTAGTGATGACTTCAATAACAGTTCCTGCAACCCACATGGGAGATCCGGATGGAGTCCCTGGCTCCTCCTGGCTTTTGCTTTGTCCAGTGCCAATCATTGCAGGCATTTGGGAAGTGAACCAGCAGAGGAGAATCCCCTAAAATGTAACTCTTTAAAGCATACTTGTTTAAAGCAAGAATAATAACAAGATAATGTGGGACAATGAGAAGTACTTGTAACAAAAATGTGTTCAGAGAGTCACTGTGGGATTAACCTGGAACTATAACTGGGAGAGCTGCGGAACTTTAACTGAACTGCTTACTCTCTTGCAAAAACATATATAATAAACCACATTCTACTCTTTCTGAATTAGTTTGGGCACAAATCAAGAAGATTACCACTCCTTTGATCTTTTCACCAGTTGTGATCTCAGCATGGTTGGTCCATGCTTCCCTTTCCATGGGGTGTAAGACCCTTTCCAACTATCTGGACAGACCAGAGGGCCCGGAGGCCTCACAGTACCCATTTCACACATACAGTGATTTGAAATAAATTTAGGATTAACTTCTGCTATAACTTGAATAGGACTCACCTTTTTGGGAAAATGAGGAAGACAGGAGGTAGAAGTGTCCCCTTAAAAGTCAGAAACAGGGGTAGACATTTGACCTAGTGGTCAAGACTCTGGTTAAGACATCTGTGTCCCTCATTAGAGCACCGGAGGTTAACACCTGGCTTTGGTGCATGGCTTTAGCTTCCTGCTGATGTAGACCCAAGGAAGCAGTAGTGACGGTTCAAG